GCTTAATCTTATTGGTTTTAGTTTGTAGGAAACTTGTTGTTTTTCCTAAGCTGCTCTCAGGATTCTTTTCCTTTATTTTGTTTGGAAAGTTTGATTACGGTATGTCTTAGTGATTTTCTTTTGGGATCTCCCCTGTTTAAGGTTTGTTAAGCTTCTTGAAGTATATCTTCTCATCTTTCATGATGTTAGGAAAGTTTTCTTCCAATAGTTCCTTGACAATTTTATCTATGCTTTTCTTTGTGTGTGTCTCTTTGTGTTCTGGAATTCCAGCCACCCATAAATTATTACTCTTTATGATGTCCCACATTATTATTAGATTTTCTTTGACTTTTTTTTTTCCTGATTGCTCCTCTGGCTGGTTAGTATTGAAATATTTGTTTTCAAGCCCACTAATTCAACCTTCCATTTATTCAATTATAGTCCTGTGCCCTTTCAGTGTATTACTCATTTCTGAAATCTTAATGCTATTCTTCTGGATTTCTTTTTACTGATTTTTTATGGTTTCTAATTTTTCATTTATTTTATTAATTTGTCCTTGCAGTGTTTTCTTGAAATTTTCTAAAGTTTTACCTGTGTTTCCCTTGATTTTATCTGCAACTTTCTAGATCTTTTGGTCAATTTTTTGAAAGTACCTAAATATCATTCTTTTTTGAATTCTTTATCTGGTAATTCCAATACCGTTTATTCCTCAAAAAGTTCTGGCTCTCTACTTTGGTTGCTTATTTGAACCACTCTGCCTTGTCCTTGTGTAAACTTAAATTGTCTGTTTTCTCTCAGACATTGTGATGTATGTGCATTTAATTGGTGTATTCTTAGGCACTCACCACTTGTCTCCTGTCAGGTGGATCAAGAGAAAAAAAAAAGAAAAGAAAAGAAAAAGAAGGAAAGGAAAATGAAAACAAGGAAAACAAAAAAATAGAAAATAACTATAATATGCAAAACTAGGAAGAAATGGAGAAAAGAGAGTATTAAAGAAAAAAAAAACCTAAGAGAAATATAAAAAGGAGAATGAAGAATAAAAGAGAAAAGAGAGAGATAGGAAAAAGAATAGCAGAGAAAGAAAGACTAAAACACAAGGGAAATGAAAGAAAAGAAAAGAAAAACCAAATAAACAAAGGAAAAGAGTTGGGCAAGGCAGGACCAAGAGAGGAGAAAATGATGGGGAACAGGACATTCAGTATTGGTCAGTGTGCTCTGCCAGTCAAGGAATTCATGGGATGGGAATGGAAGAGGGAGGAGGTGGGCCACTTAGTCTTAGATGAAGTTCCTCCTAGCCTAGATATTGTCTAGGGTCAGGGCACCTGATCTGGAAGTAGTTTGTGTTGACTCAGAAGGTGGCTGAGGCCAGGATGCTTATTTCTGGAAGGAACATTTTCAGTTCCAGAGGAGAGCAAAAAACATGGTGATAAGTTATGAAAGGTGTTCTTAGTAACCCAGGTGTGGCCAGGACCCAGGCATTATGCATTATGCTGGTTTCATGAGGTGGAAAAGCAAAGAGGTCAGCTTGAGGACTAAGGTATGCCTGATCTAAGCCATGATATTTTCAATACCCTCATATGCATGTAAAAGTTGGACGATAAGTAAGGAAGACCATAGAAGAATTGATACATTTGAGTTATGGTGTTGGGGGAGAACACTGAAAGTACCACAGTCTACCAAAAGAACAAATCAGTCTCTCTTGGACAAAGTACAAGCAGAGTGCTCATTAAAAGCCAGGAAGGCCACACTTGTCTTTTATACTTTGGACATGTTGTCAAGAGGGTCCAGTCATAGGAGAAGGATATCATGTTTGGTAAAGTCGAGGGTCAAAGAAAAAGATGAAGGTCTCCAACTAGACAGATTGGCACAATGGCAGCAGCTATGGACTCAAACGTAGCAATGATTGTGAGGTTGGCACAGGACCTAACAATGTTTCATTCTGTTGTGCATAGGATCGCTATGAGGTGGTGCTCCTTTATGGCACCTAACAGCAACAGGAGGGTGTGGGGACCAAGGAAAGTTCTCACCTTTCTTAATACCAGACCATCAGAGTGCATTTGTGTTGTCAGACCACTGTCTCTATCAAACACCACTTGCAAAAGTTCACAGTGGTATACTTCATCAGGCCAGATGACAGTTCACCCATCTGTGACCTTTCTTGTTCAGCTTCTTCTCCTAGTTGGTATTCAATCACTTTTCTGTACTTTCCTCTGAAGATTATGGTTCCAGGATTATCATTCAATCTGTTTAATTTGATTTCTCATGCCTTTGCTGTAGAGGGCATGTGTGTAGTATGCATGCTTAATCATGCTAGAAGTCCTCTTTTAGTCATTTAAAAAAAATAAACGACTAAATAGCTATTGCGTTAATGTTTATTTATGACTGTTAACTATTACACAAGAATTGGGCTGTGCACACTTATTTGTATCTTGCTGTCTTTTTCTCCACATTTTCATATTCTACTTTTATACATATATGCCTCATGGGAATAATTATTTAGAGGCAAGTTTAGGTGGAGGCTTGATATCTAGTTTTGGCTTGAATTGGATAATATTGTGCCTCTCTTAGATTATCTATCATGTAAAAAACTTGAAGTTCTGAAGAATAGTATGTTCTCCCAATGTAAGACATAGGTATTGTAATGAGAGTACAAATCCAAATTTTAGTTGTTTAATAAGGAAAAGTAAATGTACTTTCCATTTTCCACACATTGTTCCTTTTTTAAAAATATACCTCTCATATTGTTGATATCTAAGTATGCTTCCTTCCCTTTTTTCTTTAAACATTTCTTGAGTGGCTAATGGGGCCTGAAGTGGGCTTTTTAAGATTCTGTCTTAAACAGTACCTCCCCAGCATCCTTTTGTTATCCAGCACAGCCCTGGGCTTGTAGTGGGGACTCTAAATATTTGTCAATTTGAACATGCATTCTAAAATAATTTCATTATTTTGTTGTTATTGTTAAGTGCTGTCAAGTTAGTTCTGACTCATAGCGACCCTGTGTAGAGTTTCTGAAGAGTGGTTGGTGAATCTGAACTGCCAACCTTGTGATTCAAATGACTTTGCAGTCCAATGCTGACCTTACAGCATCACACCAGGGCTATCCTTTATTTCAATAGTGAAGGATAAGTGGGGTCTGTTAGTAGATTACTTCTACTTTCAAAGTTCTGAATCCGTCTCTGACTTTAAGGAAAAGGAACTACCTTCAAAGCTTATTTGAATCTGCTCACTTGGTCATTTATGAAGAATTAAGTGTGGGGAAAAGGTAAACTGTAGGAAAGGAGAGAAGAGCAGAATACTCATCTGCTTTTTTTTTTTTCTGTTCTGGAAGGCTTAAAACTAACACTGAATATGCCTCAAAGGATTAAGTGAGAAAAATATTGCAAGTTTGTCTAGTGCAGTGCCTGACACATAGTAGTAGATACTCAATAAATAATAGTTTATTCATTACAATGTAATGAGCTATATCTAGAAGATGCCTTTCTTTTTAATGACTCATCATCCCATTTTCTCTATTATTCTCTTCTTTGCTTCAAGAATGATCTGGGTAAGCTTCATTATCTGAATTTGTAAAATGGGTTCAATGCTTAATTACCTAGCAAGATGCAGGCAAGAACTTAGCATTTTCCTTAAATTTCTTCTATGTTTTAAGACACTTCAGGGATGAGAACTATGAGATCCTATATCAACAGATGATAATTTTTATCTTTACGAGTGATCCACAATCTACAGTGGACACAATGAGAAATTAAGAAATAGCACTTTTATGACTCTCATTTCACATTCACTCAAATCTGAACTGGAATGCCACAAAAACAACTCCCTGTTAGCCCAGAGGGAAAAAAAAAAAAAAGATAGAAAGTAAAGGGGAAATTTAGATTAGTCACAAAGAAGTTTCCCCGCCTGCCTGCAAAAGCTGAAGTGTTAAAACTGAGAGAGTTTGCTCTGCTCTTTCAATCACCTTTTATCTCTGGCCCTGGGACCTCTGTATATTTTCTGATTGATACTCTTTGTATCATCATTGGAGCCTTCATCTCCTCTTTTGCAGAGAAAAAGTCATCCCTCCCCCAGATTCCCACTGCTGCAGCATTCATCTTCCCTGCATCCAGACTGTGAAGATGGAAAGGACCCAATCCCTGGAAGAGAATCTGGGAAATGCATCAAGGCTGAGTCTGGGGAAGAACAAGTTATTGCTGGTGGCCTCGGTGATTCAGGGTCTAGGGCTTCTGCTTTGCCTCATCTTCATCTGCCTGAACTATGCTTCTCAGGTAAGAGGTACCACCGGGCATTTTTTCCCTCAACCTTGTGTCAGTAGCAGCTCCCACAACTGTAAACTGTCTCTTGAAAATGATCCGATGTCAAAATTGTTAGAAGTGGTTTCCCTCCCACCCTCACTTATTGCAAAGTGTGATCAAACACCCATCTCTTTCTCCTTTCCTTCCTTCCTTTTTTTTTTTTTTTTTTTTTGGTGGTGGCAGTGACAGAGTAGAGCAGCGGTAGTGCAAGGACACTACTTTGAGATTACTCTCATTTTTCTTTGCAATTCACCATTCAAGGATCCTGATATTCCTTTATGAGCTTGACTTTGAAACTTTGAATAATATAAGAAAGGAAACTGCAGACCAGTTCCACTTTCCCATCACATTAATAAACTCTCTATATACAAAGTTTGTTTTGTTTTGTTTTTTACAAGAATGCTGAAAGTCTCAATGTTAAATCCTTTTAAGTAGCAAATCTGTGCATTTTAGGGACCAGGATATTGTGTGTATGTATGTACACATACATGTTTTTACCTGTATAAATTTGACTTGACAATTAAATCAAATATTGTTTATAACCCTCTACCACTAACAATCACAATGTAAAGACATTATTTGGCATTTTTTCCAGTCTGTCTAATACACTGTATATTTTTTTTTTTAGTGGGAGATCATTTTTGTATTTGCCCCCTTAAGATATTCTTTCTATTTTTCCTTCTCTTTATTCTAGTTTTGTGCATCCCCCCCCCTTCAATATTATTTTTTCTTGTTTATTTATTTAGAAATACTGACATGATTTTGCCTTTAAGGAAGTTCTTGATGACAAGAGATTCCATTGAAAAGAAATCCAATTAATGCTATCCTTGCATTCCCTTTGGAGTTATTCTTATAAATCTTGTTTCCTTAGCTGACTGATTTGGGTTGGCAAAGCCTCTCCCTGTTAAAAGTCAGACAGTAAGAATTTGTATTCCTAAAGGCCACGTCCCAAACTGGACATCTCAGATTGAATCAGGATGAGATAAGCAGAGTGCTTGAAGATAACTGGGTTTGTCTCTGCCCACAGGATATGGAGGCTGGTGGGGATATGGTTGCGATCGTGGTACTGTGTGTATGTGTGTATGTGTGTGGGGTGTGCTTGCATCCCCACAAACTCCACAGTTGTAACTGGGCCAAGCTAACATCTCCAGCCCGGTTAACATGCTCACTCTTTGCTTAGCACACCACAGGTTTATTGCTCTTTGTGTAGAACCCTGTGATTGAAATTAGAGTAGGCGGTGTGTGGAGAGAGGACAGAGGGAGGAGTAATGTGTCCATGGCACGATGCCCATAACAGAGACCGGAATTGGGCTCTTCCGAGAAGAAAATAAACACAGGAACCAAAAAAAAAAAAAAAAAACGAAACAGCTGAGTGCATTCTGGGTGGTTTAAAAGTGTTGTTTGAAACAACCACAGCGTTACATAGTATATTCTTAATCTGTGGGATGATTAAACGACAGGACAGATGGATCCAGTCAAGGCTAATCAATTGCACTATCCTTTCTGGCAAGTTTCCCAACAAGTGTGTGACAGTGCTGGGAAGGAAAGGTAAGTCTGGCTACCAGAACTCTAGAACTCATGGTAAGCCCATCTGTGGGAGAGTTTTTCCAGTCTGGACGCAGTATCTCAGAAAAGATCAGGCAAGTTTTGCAGAAATGGAAGCAAAGATATAAACGGTGCTTTAGAGCTGTTGAAGAAAGTTGTTCTCATATGCTGGGGATGTAGAAATATTTCTGACACTTGACAGCAATTAAAAAAAAATGTTTTTCTTGGCATAAATATACTATCAAACATTACAAAAAACACACAAACTGTAGAAGACAAAATAGATGACTAGGACGTTAAAAATCACTTTTGTGCATAAAAAGACTGGAAAAAATTTCTTGTGATGACATATCAGACGGGGACTAATACATTTCCCCCCTTATTTCTAACTAGACTATTTAGCTAACATAATTTTAAATGATGGTATAAGACCCAGGGCAACACAACATTTAAACTCAAATACTCTATTATGCGGCAGGGTAGCATAGACTGGAATTTTCATTAAATTGGTGAGATAGGTATGTGAGCAAGAAGTGTTATAGATTCTCTGTTGAGGAAGGGACACACAGTGGTATTCTTCTTAAACCCACCTGCAAGAGGGCTTAGAATTTCAGATGAGGGGTGGGGTAGGTGGTGGTGGTGAAGCAGACCAAACCTTTATTTTTACAAGAACATGAGTCTAGATGATGTGTATAGGGGTGAAAATAGGGCTGAAATGCTCATTGTTTACCTAGAATCCCAATCTCTTCCAATGTAGGAGAAAGGTATTTGAAGGTATAATAATGCTTGTATCCTTATCTTAAATTGTATTGTTAGCCTTATAAAATAATTCTCTATTTGCATGGCTCTGTACATATACAGATAAAGCTATTAAACTCCATCTGGCAGTCAGTTTTCCCTTTAGTTCATTTAATAGTCTTTGTTTTTCATTGCTGGGCTTTTTTATTTGTTGTTGTTAAGTGCTGTCGAGTTGATTCTGACCCATAATGACCCTGTATAGGGTTTCCAAGTAGCAACTGGTGAGCTTGAATCACCAACCTTACAGTTCACAGGACTTTGTAGTCTGATGCATTAGCCCTTGAAAAACAGAAGCTTTTGTTTTGGAAATGCCAAGGAAAAAAGAAAAGGAAAAAAACATTGACCTCACCCACCCTTATATAATTCACTTCCCTCTTTAAGATTTGATTTTCTCATCTGTAACATGAAATGGTTGGGGCAGTTGATCTGTAAAATTTATTCCAGCTCAATAATCTGTTAAGTCTGGAGTTTAAATATGTGCAGAATGAGTATTAGGACTTACGGAGTACGAAACATACAGTTCAATAGATATTTGTGTCTAAGCCTAAAAAGGCCCCTCATGTGTGTGAGTGCTTTTGGTGATATTTTATCAGTTTACTTTGCTGTTATACATACACATACACTCTTCTACCTCTATTGTTATCGTTGTTAAGAGCTGTGGAGTTGGTTCTGACTCATTTCGACCCTGTATAGGGTTTCTGAGGAGCAGGTACGTGGTGTATTTGGACCTTATTGTTAGAAGTCCACCGCTTATTCTACAGTGCCACACCTCTATACTACTGGGGGGTGGGGAAAGTAATGGAGGTACCTGGAAAGTGTGTGGACAAGTTCTGTGCCATCGACAGACAGAATTAGAAGTCCTATCTTCTTGATTAAGTTTCAGGCTTAATTTGCCCTCCCCTCCCCCCTTTATAAAACTAATTTAGGAAGAGAAAGAAAAGCTTGCCTAACAAATCCTGCCTCAGATTGCTGTTGTTTTTCATTGCTGTCCAGTTGGTTCTTACTCATAGTGACTCTGTATAGGGCTTCCAAGGAGTAGTTGGGATGTTACAACTGTTGACCTTGTGGCTAGCAGTCCAGTGCTTATCCTATAGGGCTCTTGTCTCAGATTGTTGTTGTTGTTGTTGTTAAGTGCCATCGAGTCGCTGCCGACCCATAGCGACCCTGTACAGGGTTTCCGAGAGTGTAAATCTTTACGGGAGTAGAAAGCCTCATCTTTCTCCCGCGGAGCGGCTGGTAGTTTCGAACCACTGACCTTAACGATCGCAGCCCGATTCGTAACCACTACGCTACCAGAGCTCCTTATAGGGCTCTTGTCTCAGATTAGTTTAAGTTAAATATCTCTCCATGTTATCTGTTTTAAGAAATTCTTTTTTTTTCACTTTACAGGTATGCAAATAAGATTATTTCAAGCACAATTGACTTTGTGCTTCATAAGTAAACCTATGGAATTAGATTTACTTTTTACATACAGTATTGAACTGATTTCTCATAAAGGGTTTTGAGTATCTTAAAAGTGGTATTGAAAATGTATAGAATCTTGGATTTAGGGCAGGTATTGTTGTTTGTTGTTGTTAAGTGCCGTCGAGTCGATTCTGACCCATAGCGACCCTGTATAGGGTTTTCAAGGAGCAGCCGGTGAGCTTGAACCACCGACCTTGTATTATACATAGTTTATTTACAGATTGTTGTTGTTAAGTGCTATTGAGTTGGTTCTGGCTCATAGCGATCCTGTATAGGATATGTTTCAAATGCTGTAAATCTTTGCGGGAGCAGAAAGTCTCATCTTTCTTGAACCTTACGACCTTAAGTTTTTCAGTCCAGCGTTTATCCTACAGAACCACCACACTCCCTCATTTACAGATTAGGAAACGAAAACCTAAAAGGGTAAATGAATTGCTTATGATCTCCTACCTAGTTAGCTAGTTGTTGTTATTGTTAAGTGCTGTTGAGTCGGTTCCGACCCATAGCAACCCTGTATAGGGTTTCCAAGGAGTAGCTAGTGAGCTTGAACCGCAAACCTTAAGACTCAAAACGATTTTGCAGTACAGTGAATTAAACCACAGCACCACACCAGGACAGTTTCTAGTTAATCAGAAACTTCTAATTCCGACACTAGTGTGATTCCTACTATATCAATTAAAAACATCCTTTTACACATTCGTTTTTTTGAGTGTTTACTTGTGCATGGTACTGTTTGAGATACTGTAGTCAAAAAATGCATTGCAGCAAGTTTTGGAACTCTTTGAACTCACAGTCAAAACCCAGAATTGGGGCCCAAGTGGGCCAAGACATGTCCAAGGTGCAGTGGGAAGATGAGAGGAGGACAGAGGACTACCTAAATCTTTGGAGAGTCCGAACAAACTGGGCCGTGGGGGAAAGGGGAGCGGGCAGCAGGTAATGCTTGAGTTGATACTAGAAGGAGAAGTAGAAATTCTTTAAATAGATCAGAGATAGGTGTGGGTTGGGCGCAGAAGGTTTTCTAGGGACAGCACGTTGTTTAAAATGGAACAGAATGTTCATGGGGGGAAAGTAGTGGAAGAAGAGGCCCGAGAACCTAGGCAGAGGAAGATCACATTCCATTCTATGCAAAATAAAAACACAGGGAAGATGATCAAAAATGTTGCTTC